GTTCGGGTCCCCAAAAAATGACAAAACTCGTCTTAAACACCGGCATTTTCAAATTTTCCCGCCAGCCGCGGCGGCGCGGTATAATATAACCAGGAATAAAATACCGATGTGTTGCTTGGTTTTTCGCATATTTTCATCAGTATGACTTGTAAAATTAGTCGTATAAAATACGCCTTTTAAAGCTCTTACTACCTCCCTTTCTCTTACTTTTTCGGGAGAAAAAGTCTCCGATTTTCTCGAAAAAACATCCCTAAAAGTCCCCGAAATTCCCCATTTATGGTTTTTTATAACTGGTAGACACCCTGTTACTTCTTCGAAGGGCAAAACCGGGTCAAGTAGTTAGGTTTTTCCGATGGAATTTCATATGAATTGGGAGAGATGCCGAGGGACGCACTTCTATTTTTCGCCTTCAGTGTCCGAGATAGGCCGAGAAGAACCTCCGTGTAGCAATTTTAGGGATTCTAGGATCAGAGGATGCTCGCAGATCGGGGATAAGTATAATAGTTGCGTATTCGGATGAAAATTAGGCAGATCGGACTAAAAACGATGGAGGTATGATGGTAACCAAATAATCCCTCGCACGGAGCTTCTGTGCGCTTTGCGACACCCAACCGCCACACACTGGAGGTACGACGGTACTTTAATTTTTTTCCTTCAATTTCCGAAACAGGGCAGAGAATATCCGTGCAGCAATAGTTACCTGTTCGACGATTTTAAGGAGTCCGAGAGATTTGCAAAGCGGGGGCGAGCACTCGAGCAGTTTCGTTTTTCGAATCCTAATTTAGGCGAAACAGAAGATATAACAAGGGGATGTGGGGTGCACGGACTTTGATTTTTGTACCTTCACTTTTCGAGATAGGCCAGGAAACATCCTCCGTGCAGTCGTGCTGCAATAGAGAATTTGCAGGGGTATGAAATTTCATGAATTCCGTGCTTATGTGGATACTACTGAGTGAACTGAACACGAAGATACACTCGGTTCAAGAATTGAACAAGTATTGGAGAAGATATGACAAAATTATCTAATCCTCTAAAATACATATGTTTAAATGGAAAATGCCGCCAGATGACGTCACTAAGCGCTGCATTTTCTTACTTTTAAATTTTCTCTTATACTTTTTCCCATATCAGAAAAAATTATAAAAAATATCGTGAAATCAGCTCTTCAAGCACTTTCAGATGAAGCAATAAAAAATTTGCATGCAAATTCTCCATTTTCGAGATGGGCCAGGAAACATCATCCGTGCAGTGGTGCAGCAATTTATAAGAATATGAAACACAGCCGATGAAGAAGATATCCAAGATAAAAAGATAAATAGATTGATTAAGGGGTTGTTATTCGTCCACTAGTCCAGTATATTGTATGGGGTACTTTGGAGAGGAGGGGGTGCGGAAATGGATTTGTATTTTTAAGCGAGTAATCGGACGAAATCATGACCGGCCGATTGAAGGGAGGGGGAGGGGTGAAAAAGCAGGGATTTGAAAAAAGTAAATGGAGGAGCAGGGGGGATTAACGGGAGGATTGGGGGCCGGAGGGGAGGGGTGGGGGCGATTAATCTCCAGGGGAACAACGATAACCCGTGTTCGCTTTTAATTACTCACCTGACGATCGCGTGGACTAATTTCCCCGCCGTTGTCACATTCACGTCACGCACCGCAATACTCCCGTGCCAAGGAAGAACGCCGTATGAGCATTCGAATGTTGCCAAATTTCCTTAGATAAAAACCGAATTTATTAGGAAAATAGTGAATATTTTCCCCCAAAATTTTCAGACAATTTTGCACGCATTTTAATCTAAAATATCTGAAAATTTCAAGGAAAAATATTCATGAATGCCATAAAAAAATACATGTTTTATTAAGGGAAATTTGGCAACTCTTGAATGGGTGCTAGGTCAAAATGTCCAAAAGAAAATGTCCAAAAGTCAAAATGTCCAAACCCTGAATGCCCAAAAATCTAAATAGGCCAAATATCAGAAATGTCCAGCAGACAAATAAGTCCAAAAGTAGGCAAATGTCCGAATGTGAGATTAGGCATTGGTTGAGTCGTTACTGGATTTTTGGGTGCAGGTTTGCAAGCTATTTGTGAATGCAGCCACAGAAACAGATGCGTCGGATAATGGAGAGATGCAGGTCAGGAAAAAATGATGATAAAACTTTTCATGAGAGCAGGCAAATTCTTACTTTTAAAAATTCATTAGTGATTTATTTTTCAAATTTTAAGTGATATTGACAAACATAACAGACATGGCTAATATTACCCCATTTGTCATGAAAAGCCAAAAAAAAAAAAAAAAACCTGAAAACAGTTAGTATATAATTACTCTTTCCATTAATTTGGACATTCGCCTACTTTTGGACTTATTTGTCTGCTGGACATTACTGATACTTGGCCTTTTTAAATTTTTGGGCATTCAGGGTTTGGACATTTTGACTTTTGGACATTTGTTTTTGGACATTTTGACCTATTACCCTTGAATGTTTATACGGCGTTCTTCCTTAGCACGGCAGAATAATTCCTATGTTCAAATCAAGAGGCTCTACCACATATGGACTTCATTTTGGAATGAGGAACTGCAGTTTCTGACCTGTTTGTAAAAGCACTTACCTGCATATTGAAACTAACGGCACCTACGTTGTTTCTGAATGGGCTTGAAATTGTAGCTCCTAATTGAATCGGGACGTAGGAAAACCGCGTATGTCTATTTTTCCAGTCTTTAGTTTTTTGGAGTTCATAGTACGTACTTCTAAAGAGTCGATGCAACCACACAAGAAAAGACTCGGTGTGGGAGTAAGGAAACCCGAAGACGAGTTTTAACGCCACTTTTGTGGTTGCAACCAACTCTGAAAGGTATTATGAACGCAAAAAAACTTGAAACGGGAAAATCGTCATTAACGGTTTTCGCACGTTCCGATGCAATTGCAAAATGTTGTCCATTTGTTCCGCAATCCTAATGGACTACTGGACAGAGCACGAAATCAAGAACCACAATTTGACCGCATATTGCAGTGAGGAACTCCAATCTCTGGATCATAGATAAAAACCGCATTCGGAAACTAATGACTCTTATGTTGTTTCTAAAATGAGTTACAAAGTGTGGTTTTTAATTGCAATTTTACGCAGAGTACGATGGACGCATTAAAATGTTCAATGAACACTGAAGCTCACTCTGCAAGTTTCCATCCTGTAATTCTTGGGTAGAGAATCACCATATTTTTTAAAAAAATCTTGAGTCCTGAATATTTACGACTTTCTTACAATTTTTTTACGTATAAGTTGGAAAATATCGTTAAAATTACCAGATTTACAATGTGTATTTACTGCTTACAAGCTTTGTCACCGGAGCATAGAAAAATTTCAATATTTCTTTTTTAAAAGCCAGGTGACCATGACCTTAGTCAGAATTGACCTAGAACAACGTATTTTCTTTGGGCAATGTACTAAAAACCGGAGAAATGTCCGTAGGCGAGGGAGAAGTACGTTTACGAAAGAGGCGAATTTGTACGTATCGTGTCACACAACAAAAGGTGTACAAAATGTAACATAAAAGGCATGAACTAATGAGAGTTTTTTCTTTTTTCGGAGGAATATTTGAAGAGGTCGTCGGCCGATCTCCCGTCGTTTTACGATTGTCCCGATTGTCCTACCGCCCGGGGCCGGGCCCGAGGGGGTGAAGACGCAGAGTCGATTAAGAGCGCGTTTCACGAATACTCAAAAACCGGATGAAAGAGTGAATGTTTATATTTTTCTCAATGATCATTTTTCACCGAGAGCTCTCCAACTTGAAGAGTTTTCGTCAACAAAGATTAGCAGACGAGGGGAGATTAAGTGCCGGGTCGTTGGAATTCTCTTACCATTGATTCCGCGAAACAAATTGTGCCATGTACATCTCGTGAGCCGTTAAAAACCCGTAAGTGACTTTGGTGCTCAGTGGATCTTTGAGTGGTATTTACGTGTGTTTTCAATCACTCGATCTTCGCATGGTCTATTCATCCTCTCTAAATCTCGTCTGCGGCACTGTCCGACATATTTTTGCGATGAGTCGACCCATCGGCCAATTAATCCTATAAAAATTGATCGATTATTACCTGCATTGTTCGCAACGAATACCTCAATAATCGATTTTTCGTAATTTATTTAACGGAAAAATTGCAATTACCGACTTTCTCTTCGCGACTGATTTTATCATTCCTGAGCTACTTAATTTACATCTTTTTACAAGAGTAACCCGTTAGAAAGATCCACGCTGTCTCATGAATGCCCCCACATATGGTGTAAAAAAAATTCCAAAATTCTCGGCAAAAAAAATTGCAGAGCTATCGTTAACTTGGTTGTTGTTAGGATTTTTAGTAGAAAATTCAGAGGCTACCAAAGTGCAAAGCCACACATGTTCTTGACATATTCTTATGTAGCTGAGGCCTGCCGTCACCTCCCGCGCAATTTTAAGGGCTGTATCTGCGGCTTTGGACTCGTTAAAATAAATGTTGGAATTAAGTTGAAACAAGTGTATCTACGCCGGAAATAATGAATAAATACCGTAATCATTTAATGTTTCATACATAGAGGTGCATATAAAGAGAAACAGTGTAACTGGCAAGAACCACCTTTACAATTCCATTAAAGGTCAGATTCAGTCAGGATACTTAAACTATCTTGCAGACAGATTTTTTTTTGCGAAATGTATTTCTCACGTTAAACATGTCGCTTGAGGAAAGTTCTATCTGTTCGAAAACTTTCAGAACAAACCCCCTATTTGCTTCAGGCCGAGAAATGCATTCGTGTTGATAATCATCAATTTATAATAGCAAGCCCTCAAAATCCAAATCGAAAACCCAATCCACTCACTCATGCAGATGTACCTATGTAGTTAGACTTCTTTTACATGCATATATGTAAATATCGCAATTTTTGGTGCCCTCTAGTAAAAACTGTTTCCTTAGCACTATTAATTAACTATTTTTCTCGACCCCAAAGTAAAATTTTAAATTTTCTTTTTCAGAGAGGATCCGAAGGTGTTGATTTGGAGGCAGTTGATGCTCAGCAAGTCACCATCAGATTAATAGAAGGTAAATCACGTCTTGTCTTGCTTTAGTTAAACAAGAATACTTGCACGCAAATTCTTCCTGAATTCTTACGAAGAAAATACTCTGTGATAATTTTCTTATACTCAGCGTTATTTTGTCCGCATTTTGTAGAAAAAGATCAAGAGCATCGCAATACTGCAACAATTGTGAAATCTTGCATAACTACACCTGAACAGCTAACCAGTTTCTATTCGTGCACCAAATGAAGTGTAGATCGTTTGGCAGTTTCAATGGAACATTGCACATGCTCAGATATTGATCACTACTGCACATGTTTTCTCCTAAAATTTCCAATTTTTAAATAAGAATCTGCATCAACCTTCGTAGTTTACATTATAAACAGCAAATTCAAACTTCCCGCTCGCAAAAAAAAAGTCCTTCCATTGTAAAATATACCAAACTCAAGTAGACTCCGGCTTGTGTCTAACGCAGTGAGCTGATTATTGCAATTGATAGACAAAGCGACGGACAAAGTGAAAATGGAGCGATCCAACTGGCTGTAACGGTTGGCTTTTATAGAATAAAAAGCGGAAATGATGGATAACTACAGGGTCTTAAGTATCATGAACGTTGCCGTCAATCATAGTAGTCAGTCTACTACTTACCTTCTTGGTCCTTTGCATTCATCCGCTTCCACCAATAGGATCGCTTTATTTTGCCTTTGTCTTTTTTGTCTGTAGCTTTTTATTATCAACCTGCAGGTCACTTTTGAAATAACGAGACATGCACGGTAGGTTCCTGAGGACCTTGTAGATTGCACCCATGTTGGGGTAAAGGATTGGTAGAAATCAGTCAATGAAGATGTTGAGCGAAGGAGATGGATTTTCGGGAGCTTGGTAGTATGGTGGGTTGAGGTGGGGGTAGCTGTGGAAATAAAATAGATGAGCGTGGGAACTAAACTAGATAAAGAAGCGAGCGCGAATACAGACGGGAAATTGGCAATGAATTAACGGGAAACGAACAAACAAGAATCTGACTTGAAAAATTTCACCGGGAGCCAAGTGAGTTACTCCGATTGACGTTCTCGCCGAAGATTCAACCACCCTCGGTGTACGAAGGATACGCGGCCACCAGATTTCGCACAGCTTCAGGAGAGTGTGCTCCGTATCGCCAAATTTAGCACAGCCAGAATAAAACATTTTGAAAATGTGATCGGATCTGCGAAACGGGACCTTATTTTCCAGGAGAGAATGTTCCCGAACTTTTGCAAATGCGCGAAGGAGGGAAATTTTGACATTTGGGCGCATATTTGACCCTATGAAAGCTTAGCAATTGAAGAAGATATGAGTCCTGATATTCCAAGACAAAACTTTTTACGTGGTAGGAAAGTGCGGTTGAAGTTTTTGAAAAATGTCGAAAAAAATTTTCTCCCGAAAAACAAGCTCCCTCTTCACGAATCCGGTCACAAATATTTTCTGAATTCAAAAGGTATTTCACACGAAATAATGGCAAGATAGTATTGATAAATCGTTTCGAAAAGATTCTCCTTGCTTTCTTTAAGGGAAAACCAAAATTGTTTGAAAATATAATGGCAACACCAAGACAAGATTTGAACTTTCACCATGATTTGAACACTCCAATATTTTAAAAATGTTTTGAAGAATAATCGCACAACGCTATGAGCAAAGAGTTTACAAACCTTTTTAAATGATTTTAGTAGCGATCAGAGATGCGCTCAAGGTGCAATATGAAGATTAGACGTTCTGGGATTTTTCTGATAAAATGCTAATTTTTTAGGAAAACTCTCGTAGTCCGTTATCTAATTTTCTCCGAAAAATCGAATGCACAATTTAATCTTACCGGTTTGCAAATTTCAAGGAATTATTACAGTATTTTTCATTGAAATGAATTCTTAAAGGAAATTATTCATTTTTAATACGACTTTTTTCTCTAGTATGGAAACGCAGCGTCGCGTCGCGCCTCGAGCGTTCGTGTGATGTCAGAATTGACGCGGCGGAATAAAACGCCTTCAATCTGCCGCGATGCAAATTTGCGCGCGAGTGTTGAAATAGTTACCTCATGGCGCCTTGCATTTCGGAGCACAGGCTGCAGAGGCCGGCGCGGCGGCGCGGCGCCCCGGAGGAGTTATACTGAGGAGTGCTCGGGTAATCTTCGTGTGATTTTCACCTTATTCCATCACTCCATCATCCATTTCGATTCGCTTTTTTCTTTTTCTTTCGATCCGAGAATGTCGTCATTCACAAAATAAAGGATTTTAGTGCCGAAAAACATATTTTTCATGAGAGCGATTCTTGTTAAGTTGGCGAGAAAAATCGTTGGGTTTTCGACCGTCGAATCAATCAGGAATGATTTAATTATTTTTTGGGTCCACAGAGGGCGTAGTGTTGCATTTTCATCGATCAGTTTTGAGCCCCATTTTTTACAGCTTGACACAATCCTCGGAATTGCTGGATAAATGTCCTTAAGTTCAAAAATTATCAGTTAATAGATTGATTACCAAATTGTCCTCCAAGCGTTGAAGATTCTACTTAAACTTGTGTAAGAATATTTGGATATATTCATTTAGTATTTGGATATTTCCATGTAGTTCAGATGATTTTCTCCCGAAACTACAATTTAAACAGCATACTCCAAACTAGCTGAATGCTAATTTGATTTCCTATGAAACTACCTTCATACAAAGTAATCGGAAGTCGTTTGAGCTTATGAATTGCTTTCAAAGGAATAGCCAATCGGGGATCGGGGAGTGAGGAGCATTATCTAGCCAAAGGCTTTTCCTCATTTTCAAGCTGCATTTTTTATGTTTTCATTTCTCTTTTTCCTCTTCATTTACGGACGCTCTATTTCCTCCGCTCTCGCCATTAATAATGTGCCTAAAATAATTGGTTCTCTCTCATTACTTTCATTACCCGTTTATTGTCATCCATTTTACTCTTTCAAAATTTTCTTTTCTGTTTCTCGATTCTTCCTTCTCTTTTATTTGCACAGTTCATTCCCAAGATTTATTCGCAATAGTCCTTTCTTTTCAATTTTTTTCATCCCCAAACCGCTCTCTGTTTGGTGAAAGGCCTCCGTAACTTGGTAATAATAACTCCGTAGGATTTATCGAATGTATATATTTCATTTATCGATTTAACCCACGAGTATTTCAATTCTTATCGCAAACCTTAGAAGTTTGAATTAAATGATGATACTGTAAACGCTTGTTTTCTCCCATTTGGTTGATTCTGGACCTTTTGAACGAATTAATTTTGTGTTTTGCTTCCAATTTTGACACTTTGACGCGAGCAAATGTTTGGAGAGATATTTCCCAAATGCCACTAGGTGCCCTTTAGATTATGGATTTTGCACCTTAATGTGAAAACCCAAGTTTTCTCGCTTCATGAATAACTTTATCGAGAAATTTTATCCAAGTTTTGGCAGTAATTGTAGGTCAAGAATGGTTATTCTCAATTCACAAAAGTCTCGTCTAAAAAGGAAAAGGGTCTCACATTCTCTGCAACATCTAGGGCATTAGCAATTTGTTGACTTTAATTTCATGACACCGCGTGGTGCTCTCCATTTTCACGCTGTCCAAGGGCTCATTTTCAGTGAAGAACAATTTTCTTGTTCTTGAGAAAAATGACTCTTAATCAGCTCAACCCTTTTTCAATTAGACTGCGTTTAATTGATGCACTATTGCAATGCTGCTCAAATTGTGCATCTTTTTTAACTCGCAAAACGATTCTCGAAATACAAGTGCCCTTAACGGCATTTTTTGGCGCTAAAATTCATCAACAATTTGAAATCTGCTTAAAGTTTTTAAGCGGCAAGTTGTAACTTTTAATATCATTACTTTCAGGACGCAGATTTCAAGTTGGATCGCGTAATTAGGGCAGTGTTAGATGTTCAAAGTTAACTCTCCTGGTGTGATAATAGCAACGAATAGTTCATTTTTCGATGCATTTGCGTTTCAATCATGAGTGAAAGTTTGCTTGTTTTTTCCTTTGAATGCGCTGTTAAGAATATCATGAGAAAGAATGTATTTGAAGGAGAGAAAGTTCCGTTTATCATTGTATCGCAGCGATGTTCGATGTAAAATTTGTTGAGACACTTGGAATTTCAAAGCCACAAAAAGGCCCTTTTGAACACCTGCAGGGTGTCTAAAAGTCCGGAAATAGTACTAATTTTTCAAGAGCGGTCCGAAAGTACTGAAAAAGTGCGGAAATTTTGTAAGAAAGTCCGGAATTTTTTTCATTTTTGTCGCAATTCGAGCGGGAAATTCAAATTTTTGAAATTTTTCGAATTTCGTCAGTTAAAAGTATTAAAAAAATTCTGAATTTTTCTGTTGAGGAGGTACTGAATTTCTTGGGAATGTACTGAAAAAGCACTGTAAAAGTGCTGATTTTTGGGCAGCCTTTTCTAGTAGACACCCTGGGACCTGTCCTTTAACGGTGAGCAAGAAAAATTTTGATTTGATTCGATAATTACACGGGAATCTTATTTCCTGATCTACCTCCAAACGCATTATCATAATAGTAGGAGTCGCAGAATCTTAGCAACATTACAATGCTACTAAACGAGTCAGATTGGGGAGGATGCGATGCCTATTTTGAATGAGAGCCGGCGCGAAACCCGTGAGAAGAGACCCGAGCGGCAACGTGGGCTTTGGACGAGGAGTATGTCAATATTTGTTGGAGTCTCATATAATTTGCTTTATTCGTGAGTAAATTCATTCACGAGCTCCAACCTGGTCGCCATGGCAACCCTTTTCATCAATGCACCTCTCCTTGGCTTCGCAGCCGCGCTTCCCTTTGCTCCCGTATTTCTGCGCCTCGCGCCCCCTCCACCCCCGCCCGCCCAGGTGTCTTCCTTGACGTTGCAACTCACTCTCCTCCCGCGTTGTCGAATCCAATAGTAGAATGGATTTTCCGATCCATCCATCCATCTGCCATTTAAACCTAGAGTACCTGTATAGCGAGAGTATGGACAGATGTGAAACTCCGAAAATCCATCAGGCCTTCACCGATGCTTCTGCGAAT